GAAAGAAAGAAAGAAAGAAAGAAAGAAAGAAAGAAAGAAAGAAAGAAAGAAAGAAAGAAAGAAAGAAAAGGATGGGAGAAAAAAAGGAGGGAAGGGAAAAACGAGAGGGAGGAAGGACCATAAACCTGGCACTAGATGCAGCTTCAGAGGATACCCTGAAAGAGCACAGAAATCCAGGGCTGTGGCACCTGGAGGTCATCTAGTCCAGCTCCCTGCTCCAGCAGGACATTGTTAAAGTGAATTTCTGACTTTTGATCTCCCCGTCACATGACTACATAGCCATGCCCACCCAGTCACATGACCCCACCAAGCCACGCCCACAGAACCGGTAGGATTAGATTTCACCACTTGATTTCACTGCCTAACATTTGACCCTTTCTCTACATTTCCCCCCCTCTAGAAAACTCTTCCAGCTGTGGGAAGCTCCTGGACAGCAGCAGAAGCAGAGTTAGCCACCTGCTTCACAAGCCTGAATTTCCAGATCCAGATATGATGGAAGTCCTTATTTGAAGCCGTGGAGCTTTTGCTGCTTTGGGGGAGGGGGGGGGAAGCACGTCTTCACTCTGGAGAGAGGGGAGGTGTTGTTTTCATTGCTGTGCTTGAATTCAAAACTCTGGAGGACACCAAAAAGTTGGACCAAGAAAGTTCGAACTGAGAAGGAAAACTTCAGGTGAATCTGAGAGTTGAGGAGAGCAGAAGACTCAGAATGTTGGAGAGTGAACATTTGGGATGTCCGCTGTGCACAGTTAACCATGCTGTGGATTTGGGGTGGGTGGGAAAAGGCAAGACATTATAGGAATCCGAGGACGTTTCTATGGAGGAGGTGTTTGGTGTGCCAGGAACTGTTCTCCAAACCGCCTAACCTGTAACATAATTGGGTGGTACGCTGCCCACATGGAATTCTTTCGAATTGTATTTGCAATTCTTGGATGAGGGAGCAGGACTTCCAAATATCATTCTTCTAGCTGCTACCTTCTTCCTGCTTTTCCTTTTTGATCCCACAAACCATCTGGGTTTG